CGTGTTCAAGTTCGTAAAACAATTCTGACACCAAATTGTCACGTGTCTTGAGTTCGAATCTTGTGATCACGTGTGTAAGTCCAAATCCCACTTCTGACACCAATGTAACGTGTTTCGTTACTGAATACGCCGTAGAGATCGTTAATTGGTTTATTGAACAATCTACAAATATCGGCTACAATTAATTATCACAATGTTACGGGTTTCCACACTTTACAAACCCTACAACAAAATCTCTTAACACTATCTTCCAGAGTCTTCACGTATTAATAGCGCGGGAGCTATACAAGTCTCGCTGAATTACACACTCCAAATATAACTGGTTATCACGAACTATCACTGATTCTCGCACACGCGTCTGTAGCTCGTAACTTGCAAACTGAGAACTCGTTGATAACACACTCGCTCGACTACTACTTAACTCGGCGACTGTCCACATTTCAACTCGACTCCCAGGCTTGCTCGGAACTAACTCAGAACTGAGCTCGGCGATGGCCACATTATAACTGACCCGCAGCCGCTGTGCAGTTCCCTTATATAGCTGCAGTGCTTGCCTGTCGCGTAATGAGTGCCACATCATCCTGTTACGTCACCGCGCGTTGCGCGTTACGTTACCGTGCGGAGGGGGGGAGGGGAGCGCTGACTCNTGGGGGGACCTCTTCACTCCCCCGCCGCGTCCTTGCTGGGGGGGGGGGGTTTCTCCGTTGCACAACATGTCACAATATTATTGTATCCAATTTTACTAGTACTGCAGTTCAGTGGTGTATATATGTTGGCCATGTATTTGCCTGATGATTGCTTTTGGTAGCCGAAACATGTTGCAGAGCCAAACTTGGCACTGACCTTAATATAGTTGTGTTGTGATGGTTTTAATAAAGAAATTGTCATTCTTCTACTGTTGCATCACACATCTATCACATGGACCATGTAGAGAATACCACTTGCCATGTACATCATTGTTGTGCGTTACAAATCTATTGCGGCCATTACCTAGCAATGGCTGTTGTACAGCTGTTTATTTCATGACTGTTGCCTAGCAATGGGTCTACATGCCACAGTATGAAGTTGGCTGTGCAGTCACTTAACACTTAAATTCATGGAGATGGCACTAAAATGGTTATGTTGACACAATTTATCCGTGAACAACTAAAAAGATTGTGACAGTGCATAAGTCTGCAGCTGTCTTTAACAGTTTTAATACAGTGTAGTAGTAAAAATTATGCACAGAGGTAGACCACTAAACTGTATGATTATTACTTTATGGTTCCTTCTATACTGCTAAATTGCATAAATATTAATTCATAGTTCTTTCTATCTTTCCCCACACAGACAAAAACAACTGAATGAAAAAGTCATCATAAGTTCTTCACAGAACTTACTGTTTTGTTATGATTAATATCGTCACATAATGTGTGTAACTATGGATGGGGTTTGGAGTGATGAATAGACTTAATGACCACTTATACACATGCCTCGTAGGTACAAGTAATTACCATGCTACCACAAACTCCACAATTCACAAATTACCACAGCACCTGCTAAGACTTTCCAGCCTCCTGTGTCTTCACCAGCCATTCCCTGACAACGGCTTCTAACAGGGAAATTCTTCAGCTTCATGTACACAGGTTCTACCTTCACAGCTTCCTGTGTACAATTCTACTGAACTAAAGTCAAAGTCACATTGCAACTGACGGTCGGTCAGTCTGTCTGTCTTTGTGTTTACTGTCCTGTCCCTTTGGGCCGCCCTCTCTGATGAAAGGTTGGGTCAGTCATTTGTCAGTCATAGCCTGTATTAGTAAGTCCATTGTCAGTATTTACATATATTTACAAATCTAATCTTACCTCCTACTTCTATGTACAATATACTACTCTGTCCAAAAGGTATCCGACCTTGGCCAGGAAAAAAAGTTCTGTATCTGGGTGGTTACAATACCTAATAGCCTCCAAAGTTGGCCCCTTGTGACTCCACACACTTAGCCCAGCGGTCTTCCATCACTGGAAGAAATTCTGGAAGGCTTCTTTTGGAATGGTGTGCAGCTGCGCCGTCGCTTTCTATATGATGTCCTCGCGGCTGTCAAAACGGCAGCCTTTCAGCAGTGTCTTCAATCTTGGGAACAGCCAGAAATCACAAGGAGCCATGTCAGGAGAGTAGGGAGCCTGGTGAACCTGCGGAATGCCGTGCTTGGCCAGGAAACCCTGGATCAGGTGTGATGAATGAGCTGGGGCGTTGCGTCCCATAGCTCCGGTCTCTTGCGCCGAACTGCCTCATAAATATGGCGGAGGACTTCTTGGTAGTACTCCTTAGTGACAGTTTGGTCTAGTGGTGCATACTCATGATGCACAACACCTCGGTAATCGAAAAAAACAGTCAGTATCACCTTCACATTGCTCCGAACCTGTTGTGCTCTTTTGAGCCTCGGGGATGTTGGATGCTTCCATTGTGACGCCTGCACCTTGGTTTCCGGGTCATATCCGTACACCCACGACTCGTCACCAGTGATCAAAGTCTTCAGGAACTCACGATCCCTGTTGGCACACTCCAGCATGTCCTGCGCGACCTCAAGGCAGAGTCGTTGCTGCTCCGGCGAAAGCAGCTTGGGCACAAATTTTGCCACCACTCTTCGCATGCCCAAATCCTCAGTTAAAAGTGTGTTTGCGGAACCTCTGCAGATCCCAACCTCATCAGCAACTTCACGGATGGCCAAACGATGGTCCTCCATGATCAGTGTCCGCACTTTTTCAATGACATCGGCATTTCGGCTGACTGACGGTCTCCTGGAACGCTGCTCACTGTATGCCAACATATGGCCATGTTTAAAGCGGTTGAACCACTCTTTAATTTGAGTGACCTCCAGTGAATCATCACCAAAAGCCTACTGAATTTTGCGAACTGTTTCTGCTTGGGTATCCCAAAGTTTCTGACAAAAATTAATGCAGTGTTGCTGCTCCAAGCATTCTGTCATCTTGAGCGAAACGAAAATGTGATGAACACGTGTTATACCACTTCGCAGTCTGGCAGCCACAGATGCATCTCGCAGTGTTGCGAGTCAGCAAAAGATCACGCATGCGCATGAAAGTCCCTTCTACCACTACGCTCAGTTTCCCCACCCTTTGGCAATTACTTACAGCGGAAAAAAATGAAGTTGGATACTTTTTGGACATACGGTATACAAGGCCCCTGTCAGTCCAGGCTCAGTACACCAGATTATGCCCTATTTCTAGTAGTATTTGCTACCACGGCAATCTAGTCACTTGAATGGTCATATGCCTGGCCACCGCCAAGTTTAAGCCTCTTATACTTTCTATGTCGGGCTTCGCCTTGTCCAATACTGCAAATATTTTCGTTATCATGATTTTATATGACTTCTGCTTGTTGCCTGCATAGTTTTGTTGTATAGTCATAATGTACGGGATTTTGAAAGCCATGTGTAAATCACGAACCAGTGTGGGCCTTGGAAAATTGTCAGTGGTGTGGAGAACTCTGTTTTGTAGGCGCTGCAATTTTCTACTGAACTGCCTTTGTCCTTTGATTATAAAATCTAGACAATGACCACATAGAAAACACCATTCTTCTATTGCTGCATTCCTGTCTGTGGCTGTGGGAAGAGGTTTACCAAGTCGTTGCACAAAAATGGCCTTGGTGCGAACCACAAAAAACAGTGTTCTTTTATTGTTGTGTCCTTGTATGTTGTGGTCTTTACCTAGCAACAGCCACTGGTTACTGAGTCACTGCTTAGCAACAGGTCCATACACCACAACATTAAACAGAATACTGTATCATGTAGACCCATTGCTATAGTAACGACTCTATAAACAACGGCCATTGCTAGGTAACGGCCGCAAAATTCGCAACTCACAACAACTGGAAAGCAGTGTTCTCCACGCAGACCATGGAACAGCTACATGAGACAACAATAAAAGAACTGCTGAGAGAGTTGTTTTTTGTGTGGTCCATGTCGAGGTGTTATAAGCAGGATATGTCTACAGTTTAGTTAGATTGTGAGACAGTCGCCGGCCAGTAAGGACATGGACACTGCAGCCAAGGAAGCTATGGCAATGAAACCATTACCAGTTGACAACCGGTGAAGATATGGAAGACTGACAAGACTTAGTGCATGCAGTAGTGAATTGTAGAGCGTGTGTATTAGCTACAGTTACTTGTAATCACAATCTGTAAGTGTTCAGTAAGTCCAATTACCAATCCAAACCCTGTCCATAGTCAGTCATACATGTGACAATAAAATAATAAGCAAATATGTTCATTTGCTTTTTCAACATTACAAATTACAACCCCCAAACTGGCCTCTGGGCACAGCTTCGAACTGTCTTTGCATGGATAAAAGAACAATGACATGTTTTTTATGCTGAATTGCTCTCTTTATAATTAAGGAAAATTGTACTGAATATCAATCCAGAAACTTTGGAATTTAATCTGCAGCTTTCTCAACGTGTCCAAGCACAGCAGACACTTGATATACCATGGATTCTGAAATACCACGGCAGTGTTCGTGTCCACCAACACAATTACATGTTTTAGGTCATACAAATTCCTATTAAATGTTTTGGTTGCATTAAATAATGCATTGCAACAATCCTTGCTGCAGCATACAAGCACAGACGATAAAGTCTGTAGTACACTATGAACAGGTATATTTCTGTTTCTATAATCAAAACTGAGAAAAGTGCTAGAAAACTTTAATGTAGTGATAACATGGTTAGAACAACAGGCTGATAGTGGATACCTTCATCTACTGCATCTGATTAATAGTAAGTAACATGTTCTGAAAAAAGGGCAGTTAACAGATCCCACAAACTACATTATGTAACTAAAGTAACTTAGTGGTCTGTGTCAGTAGCAATGGCAAAATATAAGGTTGAAATGTACCTTAAATTCCATCTATTTTACTCAATAAATATAAATAATATCAATGATGTGAGTACTGAAGATTTCCTCCAAAAACCTGCATTATATTGAGGGTCTACTATATAAAAATATTTACCATTCATGTTGATTGTCCACAAAAGCTGACATAGGCGAGACCTGGACAGTATAGGTATCATTTGCTGAATATTCAAACAGGCCATAATATGGGTTGAATAGCTCTCGAGACAATAGGAAAAAGAACTCTCGTGATGGTCCACCATAGTCAAGCCCTTCTTCCCTGTCAAATGTCACATACAATTTGCATTTCTGTAGATCTTTCTTTGATGCAGCCATGATCTTGTTGAATGCATCTTCCAGCAGGTGCTCTCGACGGATGTGCAGCCTATAAATGTAAGATATCTATTTCTAATTTATGTAATCAGAACTGAAATCACAACACAATAGTAAAACTCATACAAACAATAAGATGATACTAAAGTAAATCACTCATTAACACTTTTTCACAATGACATCACACTCATCTAATAACAGTAGCAGTACAGTAGCAGTAGTAGTAGTAGTAGTAGTAGTAGTAGTAATTATTGGTATTCTTATTCTCATTATTATGTACACTTTGCACAATGTGCAATCATAGAGTTGGTCTTGTCCTCTCTATTTGTCCCTGTGTTCTAACTCTAGAACTACTGGATCGATCTTGATGAAATTCGGATTAGACACTTTGCCACTGGAGCCCACCCCAAATTCATACTTCATAAAATTTATCGGCAACATCAACATGATGGACACAAAAGCTTGAGAGCTAGGAGTATTACCAGCACCACTTAACATCACAGAATAAAGTACAGTGGAATCTCGCTTAATGAGAATAATTTGTTCCAGAATCTTACTCATAATGCGAAACACTTGTTAAGCAAAACAATTTTTCCCATATAAATTAATGTAAAATATGATAATGCGTTCCATGCCGAAAAAATACTAAAAAAAATTTTTTTTGTATAACGTTTATTCAAAGAAAATAATATATACATTGTTAAGGAGCATGAATCATCTTCATCTTTTCTTCTCTGCGGAATGAACCAACCTGGAATGCAAATTCGATTTGCAGAAAAAAAAATCCACATGAGGAGCAACCTTTCAACATCGTCGAGAATACATAACCGTTGCGTAGATATTCCTGTTACTCCCTTTGAAGCATCTCTCTCCTTAATCTTGTCCTTGTTCTTGAGGTGTGCAAATCGTTGATGTAGACCGATTGTATGTGCGTGCTAGATCAGCCACGCTCACACTTCATTCTCGCTTTTCAATGATTTTACGTTTCATTTCTACAGTTATTTTTATTCTCTTATGGCTGTCTTTTTGCGGCTTTTTCTTCAGGGACACTTTTGCAAGGGTTATTAAACTTTGCACAAAAAATAACAAATAATATGTCTGAATACAAGTTTGGAAAAATGTGTGATCACAAGCAACACTAACATGCTAGCGGAACGAGTGCCAAACACGGACTGATGTAGCAAGCGTACAATCCGGGACTTCCCCTCTCATCACTCGTAAAGCGAGTCATTTTTTTACAATTTGTTTTGCTCATTATGCTAATTACTCGTTATGAGAGGTGCTCGTTAAGCAAGGTTCCACTGTATTAAATTTGTTATACAAGGAGATTGAAAAGTCGCGCACATCAAACTAAACGTTGTTATAAATTGTACTGCAGGTAATATAATTATATCTCCTACTGCTAGATGGTACTGTAGGAGCACTAACGAGTAGAAACGCCATCTGTTGTGTATCAGTCATATGACATCTGCAGTTTAGCGTTGTTTAATGCGTGACAGACAAGTCATTTTCCCAAGAACAACGAGTTTTCATTGTGGAACATTATTTCACCAGTCATTCTTATGCACATGATCGGGTTTTCTTCACTGATGAATAGGGACCGGATTTTAATGCAAATACATATTTCTTTCTTGCAACCAGAAAGTCTGCTTGTTTGGATATATGTATAAATTACTTCATTTCTTAAATTTTGGACATGGTTTTATGGTGCACATAAATGCATATTTTGCCTGTTTTATGAATAAGCATCATATTTTCGAAGATTTATACTGCATATTTCCTTTTTAAAAGTTTATCATACATTTTTTAATTTTATGTTCAAATTTACAATCAATTATTCTTTTCCGTGTTGGAATATGTTGCATATTTGACTCAACATTTCGTCATGATTCATGTTTCTGATGCAATAACCAGGACAGGACTTCCCCAATCCCTCAGCTCGTAACTTGCCTTATCCGCGTACCATCAAAGTGGACGCAAAGAGATTAGACGGAAGCGTTCACATCTAACCGCTATCAACGTAATACTATTCAACCGATAAGGAACTTCACTTATTTATTTCCGAAGTCTCCATGAGGTTCATTACGCTTCTTCATTTGAAGCTGGGGGCCATTCACATTAGTGGTGACTAGTCTGTAGTCAAGTTTGTTCAGCTTTCTATAGTCATGCCGAAAGTGAAAGTAGGTCAGAAAACTAAATTACAGCTGTATCAGCGGGAGTTCGAAGGAGAGATGATGATAAGTACGGATAACGAAATTCTTTATTGCCGAGCGTGTGAGAAAACAGTTGGTTGTGAAAAATGCTTTCAAGTGCTTCAGCATTTCAACACTAATATACACAAAGAGAATATTAAAATTAAATCCACGAAAAGTGCTCCTGTTCAAAAATTGCTTAGTTAATTTTCTAATAATAGTTTTTCACAATTTTCCTTTGATTTATGCGAAGCCTTTTTAGCGGCAGATATTCCGCTGTGGAAACTAACCAATCCTACTCTGAGAAACTTCATACAGAAGTATACACCGTGCAAAGTGCCGGATGAATCTACTGTGCACAAAAATTACGTGAAGCAGTGTTACGATCTTACAATTGAAAGCATTAGAGATAAGATTCAAGATAATTTTGTGTGGGTATCACTCGACGAAACACAAGATTGTGATGGACGGTTTATTGCAAATTGTATAGTTGGATCCCTTAATAAGAATGAACAATCTACCCCATATCTTCTTGCGGCAGAGCAATTTGAAACCACAAATAGCTCAGCAGTTTCCAGATTTGTTATCAATTCCATGAATTTACTATGGCCGAATGGCATTCAGTATGAGCGCGTATTGCTCTGTCACTGATGCCGCAAGTTATATGATGAAAGCCGGTACTGCTCTTAAAGTTATATTTCCAAATATGATACATTTGACTTGCCTTGCCCATGGGTTACACCGTGTTCGTGCAATTTTTCCGCTTGTTGACAAGTTGGTGTCTTCTGTGAAGAAGGTATTTGTTAAAGCGCCATATAGAAAAGAAGCCTTTAAAGCAGTAGCACCGAGCGTTCCACTTCATCCAGAACCAATTTTAACGCTCTGGGGCACGTGGCTGTGTGGAGCGAGTTATTATACCGTACTTAGAAGCAGTTAGGAATGTCGTGAATACATTTTATCCCAAAAGTGCAGCATCAATTGAAATTGCCCAATATGTACTAAAAAACGCAGAACTAGAAACTAATCTTTCCTATATATCTGCTCACTTCTCTCATCTTCCATCTGCCATTTCCTGACTCAAGGCAAGGAATAGCAATACTACTTTGTATCAGTCGTTAAGTGTGTTCAAAACCACTCTTTCCAAATTGAATTCAGTTCCTGGAAGAACTGGTGAAGTAGTAAAGGAAAAAGTACACAGCATTCTTTCAAAAAATTTAGGATATGAACAAATTTGTGAAATTTAAGAAATTTTAGCCGGTAAATGTACTGAACTGCCAAGTAAAAAATCACTAACAGTGGAACAAACAGCGGCTTTTGTACATGCGCCCCTAAGTTCCTGTGAGGTGGAAAGAAGTTGTCCCGCTATAAGGACATCTTATGAGACAATAGGAGGTGATTAACTATGGAAAACCTAAAACATTTAGTAATTGTGAACTGCAACAGAAGAGAAGTTGAAAGTTCGGAGAGCTAAATGTGAGTACCATTGGTTTTTTTAAATTTGTAATGAAATATGTTGGTTTTGTTGCATGATTTGTATTTAAGTATAGCTTTTTACTGCATGTGAATCATTCAGTGATTACATAAAATTAACTTAAATATTGATTTGTTGGTCTTAAAATAATGTAAAATCAATTTTAATATTTGGTATAAATTTTTATGTGCATACTTTAGTGCATATTTCGGAAGCTTTTCATGCATAAATGCATACATATTTAAGGGATTATTAGGGCATAAAAATCCAGTCCCTACTGATGAAGCATGGCTTCACCTTAATGGCTATGTGAACAGTCAAAACAATAGGATTTGGTCATCTGAAAATCCACATGAGTTACATGAAAAGCCCTTGCACTGTCAGAAAATTGGAGTGTGGTGTGCTCTATCATGTCATCGAATAGTGGGCCCAATTTTCTTTGAAACAACAGTGAACAATCCAGTGTACCAAGATATCATTACACAGTTTATTGTGCTTCTTGAAGTTGATGAACATGAGTGTTGGTTGCAGCAAGACAGTGCCACATGTCATACATCTAATGAAACCATGCAGTTCTCTCGTGAGTTTTTCGGTGACCATCTCATTTCAAGAGGATTGTGGCCCCCATGTTCGCCCGATTTGTCACTCGCAGATTTTTTTCCTTTGGGGGTAGCTCAAAGGAATTGTCTATAAAAACAATCCCCATACACTGGATGATGTCAAGAGGAACATTACGATGGTGATTAACAGCATCAGTTTACAGGTACTCCACACAGTGGCCTCAAACATGATAAAAAGAGCTCAAGCATGCACTGTTTAACAGGGAAGCCATTTTGAGCATATTTTGTAAAGTCATGATTTGATTTTGCATTTCTAAGATGTAAGGTTATAAAAATTAATAGAAAATGCTGTATGTTTTGTAGTTTGTGCTTTAAACCAGGAAAATATAATTGCTTAGTGTAATGTGCACAACTTCTCGATCTCCCTGTACAAGAAAAATGTCAATAGCTGTTGCACATAGTCAGTTATTGGAGAGGGTGGGTTTCCCCATGCATTTAGACCAGTATTGGTCCATTGTGCTTCCTTCTATGATATTCTACCAGCCTCTATATCCTACCGATATTGGTGCGACCATCAGTCCCGCCGAGCCAGCGAGTTCAGCCTCCACTAGCTTGGCGGTGTCTATACTGCTTCCCCCATCTATCAGAGGCCTTAGAGACTACTGTTGGGCGGGAAACGTCCTTGAATTTGGCTCAGTGTTCTCCTTTGGAGATATGAGGTTCTTTTACCTGCCATAAAGCTACAACACCGGACACACAGCTTAAAGTCCCTCCCGGAGGACTTGTTCCCTGACTTTTTCCACCCTTAAAAATTCGACGACCTCCACCATGTATTTGAACCCGCGTACCATGAGTCATGAGGTGGGAATATTACCTCTAGACTACGAAGGCCGCTTAGCTGTTGCACTGTTGTTACCATCTGATTCTGTGTAACAAAGAGATGGGAGAACAATACTGAATGTATTTAAGAAATCTTGTTTCCTACTCCTTGCAGCCTATTGCAGTCTGCTGTAGTCCAGTCGACCTCCTAACTTAGAACGTTTATTAATTCATTACAGACCTCTGGAAGACTTACAAAGTACCTGCATCCTTGTCAGTTACAAAAAGAGGCACCAGACAAGGAAACATACACAGAAGTACACTTGTTCAAACCTAAGGGGCATTACATCAAAGAGCCAGAAAGAAATGCACTGCTTCAGGTGACTACTTATTCATATAACATTTTTGCATGCCAAGAGCCAGGACAGCTCAGTTGGTACAGTGACAGGTTATGGGCTGGATAGGCAGGTTCAATTCCTGGCAGGAGCAGGAGATCTTTCTCCTGGAGGAAAGCACCTGAGGTGTGAAACTTACCAATTGCCTCCATCTAGAGCTGAGGCCAAGCATGGTGGAGTTATACCTACAATCCTCCACGATTTTATGGCATGATATTTAATTAAACAGGAGAACCTTACTGCTACTAGTACTACCACTACTACTACTACCACCACTACTACTGCTGCTCCTGCTGCTGCAACTGCCTTCACACTGCCTTCACTACTGCTACTACCTACTGAAAGCAAAACTTCTTACTTGAGTTTTCCTGGCCCTTGGCCATAACCTTTAGACTCCAGCTTCCGATAAAAGTTCCTGAGTTTTGCTTCAAAATCTCTCCTGTAGGGGGCAGGAGCCCGGGCATTGGCCCGTGACAATCCAGGTGATGCCTGGGGTGAAAGCTGGGGTGAACCACGTGGTGATCGAGCTGGTGCTGGTACCACAGGCACATAGCTCATAATCTCCTGTTCAAACAAACTGCAAGATAACAATCAGAAAAGTTGTAAGAAACAAGCAAAGGAATGATAGACTTGGTTCCTACGGCTTATAACCAAATCCCACATAATGCACAGATGTGTAAGGCTTATGCTTCATTGTAAATGTGTATTATCTTTACATCAAAGTAAAAAGTATATAAACACAGTTCTCTATTTAACAGTTACGCATTGGGGTAATTATTTATCGACATAAAACCTGGTGTTCAACAAATTTTTGTAATGAAAAGTTTCATTATTTTATCACCTAGAAACTACTCTTCTGTATGTCTAAAAGCTAATTATGTACCCAAACAACCCCTATCATCCTTTAAATACCAAGAAAGGTTAATGAAACATACAGTATTAGTATATTGTGCCACACAGGGAGTGGACATTATACTCTATTTTGTCCATGATTTATTCTAACCGTCTTACAGTGCATACATTTATTCACCTTACTCTTCTCTCTTGCACTACATGTTTCAGCACAAAAGTGCCATCTTCAGGTGGCACTTTTGTGTGACTCGCGTATTGAGATACGACATAAGGATGACAAATCCTGAACAGTTTTAATATTTTTAATATTTAAAATTTATCAATATATATGATGAATATATATTTTAGTATAAAGACAACAGGGCATGCAATGAAGTAGTTTGACGTACATCGAAAAGCACCTGAAGATGGCACTTTTGTGCTGAAACATGTAGTGCAAGAGAGAAGAGTAAGGTGAATAAATGTATGCACTGTAAGACGGTTAGAATAAATCATGGACATAAATCAGTGCAACAGGACGCTAAAATATAACTCTATTTTGTGTCAAGGGCTTTACAATTTAATATGAACTACAAAAATAAATCATTCTGCTTTTTATTATTCTTTTATACCAGCATTCCTTTCTGGATTCTATAGTAATTTTAAATTCTGAAAGAGTTTGCACACAAGAGATCTGAGAAAAATTCATACAGAAAAAGGTGGTAATGTCTTATCACCATTCTCAAACACCTCAGTTTATTTAGGTCATGCCTCTATCCAGCCAATGAGCCAATAAAAGCATCTACTACTTCTGCTGAAAATTCTTTTACTCAAGACAGTCACTTTTTAAGTATGTACTTTGCAAGTTAGCCCAAGGCAGAGGCATTCAGTATCTTTCATAATGCAGCCATTACATGTAATTTTATAAAACGAAAATTACACCCATAGTATTTGATAAAATAATATTCTGTACATCAAATTTCAGACTTAACATGACATGTATATGCAAAATAATTTAGGCCTTTAAAAAGAAACAAAATAAACGAAAAATAAGTATAGTCACACCCACATAATATGTATCATATCTCAAATTCGATTAAAATATGTTACACTGATAAGATACACACAGAAGTTCAAGTAAGCACCGAAATAAGTAAAATGATCTTTATAATGAACATATTAAGTTAAAATGAAAGTAGCTTCACAAAATGTAATGAGACCTATTAAAAATGATGTTAGTTGGTTGAGGCACTATGCTATAAGCCAGAAGGTAGCGGGATCGAATCCTGATGAGGTGGATTTTTTCAATTGATCTAATCCTTCTAGTCGCACTATGGCCCTGGGGTCGACACAGCCTCTAACAGAAATGAGTACCAGGAATATTCCTGGGAGTAAAGGGTGGCGGGCGCGTAAGGCCGACAACCTTACAGCCATCTGTGAGCCGGCTGTCTGGAAAATGTGGGATCCTCGACATCTCACAACCCTATGGGCTTCTGCAGCCTGTTGAGGGGATACCTTTACTTTTACTTTACTTCTTTAAGTTAGGGATTGTCTCTTGTAGGCAGATGAAGAGACATAAAAAGGATAGTTTCAATTATTCTATGTATGACACAAACTCCGTCTCAAGGGCAACAATTTATTGTAGTTCTTTCGTCTTCTTTTCCTATACACTACATGTTTCGGCCATAAATGGCCATCATCAGGTGTATACTCTCATGTAGCTGCTACACTGCACGTAGTTTAAAACTTAAAAACACCAGTCCTCCCAATTGTTCACTTCTCCGTTGCTAACAGGTCCCGACATATCAGAATCCCCCCGCTGATATCTGTCAGATATGTAGAAAATCTTTGTCAACCTACACACGTCAAATTTGATTTTTGAAATCTGGCACTTTTAAAATCTTCAATTCAAATTTATTTTTTTTTCTTTTCTTTAAAATTTTTCAAATGTTAACATTCTCAGGGATACTCACTCTGTCTACAGTGCTGCAGCGGCTACTTCTTGCTTTCAGGACTGTTCAGGTATTATTCTGTGTAGGCTCCCTGTGTGCGTGCCGCTGCTTATCTTTAATATGTGTGCTCACACGTGTGACACAGAGGTTGCGTCATACATTGTGTAGAGTGTAACAGGATGCTTAAATGTAATATTCAATTGTTCTGTTCACTCGATTAATCATGTAGTTAATCTTTTTTTATATTTCAACAACAACAACAAGAGAGTTGGAAGAGAAGTCCTATGCGGTGCGGACGTGTATATGTCGTTGCTCCGAAGAGCAGTGTTTGTAGTTACGTAGACTTAAAGTCTAAGTGGGCATAGTGAGTGAATCATTACGTGAACTATATATCGGAGTGTTCAATCTTGTTTATATTCTCGATAATCCTTGATAAAAGTGGAACAATCTTCTAGTGCATATTACTATATAAGTGCATGGCCGTGGCCATGGCCTACGCCAACAACTATATACATTCACCACCATCAAACATGAATGATTACACAGATCATAATACACCACCATCATATATAAACATGCCGATACCCACATCATACATGCAGCCTCCTGCAACTCAACAAGGTGTCTCTCAGAATCCCATCATGTATTGCAGTCAACCTCAACAGAACGTGCAAATGACCAGCCAAATGCAGTATTATAATCACAATTTTCCAGCTCTACCCAAACAAGGAAACGACTGGCAAACTGTTCCACGCGCCAGGAAGAGAGCGAGAGATCATGAAGTGAACGACTACTGGCTCGGAGAGGCAGTGTCAACTAGTAACAGGTACCGTGCCCTCTCAGAAGAAGAAATGGACTCAGTACAAGAAGACAGTTCAAAAACCAGGGAACCTAAACCCCCTCCTATATTCATCGCAGGTGTCAAAAACATCAAACCTCTAATCGAATTACTTGATGAGATAGCAAATCAAAAATATAACATCAAAACTCTGAGCTCTGATCAAGTCAAAGTACAGCCCTTAAAAAGTACAGTTTACAGTACGATCCTAAAATCCCTAATTGACAAAAAAACTGAATTTTACTCGTATAAACCAAAACAAGATAGAAGCTTTAGAGTAGTCTTAAAAAATGTCCATCCGACAACAGACTTAAATGAGATTAAAACTAGTATTGAATCAAAAGGTCATGAAGTTACCAACATCTGGAACGTAAAACAAAGGAAGACTAAAAATCCCTTACCAATATTCTATGTGGACCTAAAGCCAAAGGCTAATAATAAGGACATATATAACATAAAGTTACTCATGAATACTTGTGTCCAATTTGAAGCACCACATGCTAAACGAGAGATACCTCAGTGCACGAGATGCCAAAGATATAGCCACACGAAGAATTACTGCTATAGCAACCCTCGATATGTTAAATGCGCAGAAAATCATTTGACCAGTGATTGTCCCAGGAAAACAAGAGACGAAGAGGTCCGCTGCGTAAACTGTAACGAGCATCACCCTGCAAACTATAGGGGATGCATGATACACAAACAGCTGCAGCAAAAGATATACCCAGCGATGCGAGAACGAATAAAATCACCAACAAAAACTACACTACAGGG